ATAAATCCCTTCCCCACCTCACATAAATCACACCAAAATTTTCATTCTTCATGTCTATTTCTTATATAAACTAAGGTATAAGTATTTTTATATTTGTTTCATTTATCAAAATTTTTATTTTTTTAGTAATTAATTATTTTATTCAATAATTTTGTATTATTTTATTATTATTATTATTTATGTAACATTTTATTATTTAATTGTAAACTTATTTAGTTTATATTTATTAATTACAGTTAAAAAATTGAAGGAACGATGTTGCAATTAGATGTTGATCATATTTCAACTCATTTTATTGATACGCTAAGAATATGAAACTATATTCTTTTTAAATTTATGAATATTATGAAATTGAGTATATATTAATTAAATTATTAGAATTTATTTATTAGAATTTATTTAAATATTTTAAAGTATGAATTAAAATATTAATGGTTAGAATTTATTTATTAGGAAACTGATAGGATATTAGAAGTTTTTATTCGCAATAAGAAGATGAAAACACCGAGATGTATATGGTGTTATTTATCTATGGTTGGATTTGGTTACCTAACTAAAATTGATGGAGGTTACAAACTTGAACTCGCCCATATTTATGCACTAATTGAGAGATGGCAGTCAGAGATGCACACGTTCCATCCACCATGTGGGGAGTGTACCATTACGTTGGAGGATGTTTCAATGCAATTGGGGCTTCCTGTCAATGGAACTGTCATATGTGGTGTGACAGATGATGCTTGGGGGTTTTATGTAGGGAGTATCTTGGAAGTTGTCCACCCAGTTTTAACAGTGGTTGAATAACATTAGGGTGCCTCAAAAGTGAATTTAAAGAGTTGCACGAAAATTGTTCGAATGACAAGGCAAAAGCATTTGCCCGAGCATATATACTACATCTCATTGGAGGTATATTAATTCCCGAAAAATCTCGGAATCAGTTCCATTGTATGTGGTTGAGGTACCTGATCAATTTTGAAGTAGTCGACACATTGAGTAAGGGGTCTGCAGTGTTAGAACATTGAAACTATATGAGGCATTCATCAGTTAATGATGGTGATTTATATCATAAAATGAAGTTCACATATAAAGAAAAAGCAATGATGGCAATTAAGAATTAGAATATTCGTAATTCAATTCAGTTCAGAGTTGACCGATCTACTACCGAAAAGTATGTATATTATTGTGCCCAACGTGATAACGACTGCAATTAGATGGTTCGTGTTTTAAAGAGAAAGAAGACCGACAGAAGAGAACTAACAAAATATAGTGGTCCTTATACATGTTGTGCATAGGGGATCAACCAGAACCATCCAAACTTGGACTCAAACGTGATTTGCCAAGCCATCATGCCCTTGGTTAGAGCAAGCTCCCACATAACTATTGCAGTGTTGATTTTTGTAATACAATCTCAATATGGGTACACGGTCTCCTACAAAAAAACATGGAAGAAAAAACAAAATGCCATTATAAAACTACACGGCGAATGAGATTCGTCTTACAACGAACTACCCAGTTCGATTATCCTAATTCAACAACTGAATCTTGGGATAATAGTTGAGTTCGAAACTAGCCATGCCTACAAGAATGATCGAGTTCTTCGAGATCGATGCCAATTCCACTGTGTTTTTTGGACTTACCCATAATGCATTAATGCAGTGAAATACTGTAAACCCGTTGTCCAAATTGATGGTAAATTCTTGTATGGAATATACAAGCAAGTTTTATTATTGACAGTTGTCCAAGATGGTAATCACAACATTCTTCCCGTTGCCTTTGCCCTTGTTGATGGAGAAGATACAGAGTCTTGGGCTTTTTTCCTAAGAAATCTACGGTCACGTGTTATCATGAGGGAACATATTTGTACCATTTCAAGCCGAGGAGCTGGGATCAAAGCAGCAATAGACTTTTTGGGTCCAATGTGAAAACCCCCCACACGTCCAACATCGTCTATGTATCTAACATATTGCTACAAACTATCATTGTAGATATAAGAAGAATGATGAACGACAATTAATTATATGCATGTGTATGTTACATTTTCCAATTTCATTTCTCACTCATTTTTATTTTTTTATACTAACTACTTTAGTTCGCTTTGGTTACTAATTCTCACATCAAACGTTTACGGCTATGCTTCAAGAATTACGAGGAAAAAATGAACATGAATACAATTAAATCAGTGAGATCAACAAAGAAAAGTGAACAAACGCATACGATGGTGGATATCAATATGGACATATGACAACCAACTTGGCTGAGGCAATCAATTCAACCTTAAAGGGGCCCCGTCATTTACCAGTAATTACTTTGGCTAAAATGACGTATTTTCATTTGGGTGAACTTTTTGCCAAGCTCGGGGCAAGTTCTTACTTGGATGCAAAATGATAATGTTTATCACCCACGATTAGTAGCAGATCTGCAACATCAAACATCATGTTTGTAATAAGTTTTTCTCGCACCCAAGAATTATTTTGGGTCACAGAAATACCACGACCTCTGCAAGAGATTGAATCTAACTCTTTCAGAGTTAATCTACGAGATAGATGATGTGACTGTGGGTTTTTTCAAGATTTGAAGTATCCATGCTCCCATGTCATAGCAGCTTGCTCATTTTATCGTCAAAACTATAAGTGTTATGTGGATCTCGTATACCAACTTTCACAAGTATTCAAAGTATATGAATATGAGTTTCCCCTATAAGTAATGACAAATATCCAAATGAGGTTCAGACTTGGCTTCCAATTATACTAGATCCGGACTTATTAAAAGAGTCAGGTCATCCAAAATTCACTCGAATTCATTGTGATGTGAATATTTGAGAGACGTTAAGACAAAACTTAAGATGTGGCCATTGCAGAAACCCCAACCACAATAGGAAAAAATGTTCATCTCTTTCATCTTCACGTAACCGTTGACCACCACTCATGTAATCATATTTTGCAATGTTTTAACTTATTTTATTTCATTTTCTTTTAGTTTCAATTAATGCGATTCCAACTTGTTTATTTTACAAGATGACCCTTTCGTATATCTATATATTTTTTCCAATTAAATGTTTAATGTTTATTTTTTACAATCTAACATACAATCAACTTTAACACTATCCTACTTTAAAAACACAAACATTCTAACATAAAATCAATTTTAACCCTTTTTTTAAACCCTAAACCATACAAATCTAACATACAAACAACTCTAACCCTATCCTACTTTAAAAGAACATACATTTTAACCCTATTTGTTATCATGATGATCTTTCCTGCTTTGGACCCTTAGATTGATTTAAATAAGTGTTTTGCGTTCGTGGTTAGTTTTCTCACGATGCTTGATTTTGATTTGCGATTTTTCGGTGGTCTTCAGTAGTTTTATCCCTTTTTGTGGTTCGTTCATCCAAATTTATTTGCATCTTTATTTAGTTCAAACATTGATTATATTTTTAATCTTTTCTTTTTCAGTTATTATATGATCTAGGTAGCTAGTTTTTGTGTCAATGGTAATAGAAAAACATCCTAACTATAACTTGGCTTACGTTTACATTATATTAATAAATTTTTATTGTAATTCTGAATATTTTTTTTATCTTTAATAAAACTAGTTATTTTTAAAAAAAAAATTGATGTAAATCCCCAAAATCATTTATTATTTATTAACTGCCCGAGTTTAATAGGTTAAGTGCATTAAAAAGTACAAATCGATAAGAAAAATATTTTTAAAAGTCAATATTTTAACAAATAAAAATGTTATCAATATTTTTATAAAAATTAGGCCCTACACTTCAGAGTCCTTATTTCTTCTTCCAGACATGGACGGAAGATGCGAATCATGAAGCGCGCCTTCTTGGGGTTCTGTATGAGCTGGCACCACGGTGAAAAAGCACTAACTGTAATTCGCGCCTTCAGGGGTTTTTGACATGTCAGCGAGGCGAGGATCATAAAGCGCACCTTCGATTATCCCCCTCAATTATTGCTCGTTCTATTATTATCGCAGCTGCCTTAAATCCCGGACGACCTATCCCCCTTCCCCTATAAATACCCCCAAATCCAAATATCAAACCACACCAAAATTACATTCACATTCTTCCTTCTATAAATTCCTTCTATCAAATATATTTTGTTACATTTTTTAAATAGTAAAATTATTTTTATTATTTTATATTTAATTTATTTGATCAAATTTTATTTTACTAATTATTTTTTATTATTTTTTACGGTTATAAAATGGAAGACGTGATCATATCTCATTTGCCTTGCTCGATGGTACTCCAAGAACTAGGTTTTGGAACATTACAAGGACCTACAGCAGCCTGTAAGACACATATTCACATGATAAAGCAGAGAGTTGGTATACTAATGAAAAATGAAGTTCCAAATTCAAATGATATATAAATACGTATTTGATCATCTGAGAAACTAAAATTCAAATTATTTTGGGGAAGAAAAAAGTTTGAAATTAATTAAGAGTTTGGGGAAGAAAAAAGTGAAGTGAAAAAAACATTAATGACGAGTCTTGGACCGTTGATAGTAGAAATTAATTAAGATTAGGATAAACTACTTTTAAATTTTTTTCACTTAAGATGGGTAACTTTTTTTTTGTTTTTATAACTAATTTAAAAATTTTGATTTCCTTTTTTATAAAGCCGTTGGATTTAAACATTTAATTATTTTGTATAAAAATTTATCATTATTTATAAGAATTAAAAATAAATATATTTTAATTTATTAAAACTAAAATCAAATTGAAAGAATATATAAATAACATGAACTATTTGTGTAATTATACCATTCAAGTAAACCTGTTAACTGCTGCTAACATGACACGTGTTTTCCATGACGAGTGGTCAATTTGTAACAAATGATAACGTTAGTGACCGATTTGTGACTTTTGAAACATCAGTGGTGAAAACGATAACTTACCCAAATATTAGTGATCATGGCAGTAGTTTACCCATATTTTTATATAAAAAAACAGGTACCCTAGAGTCCTTATTTCTCCTTGTACGAATAACAATGGAAACAGCTCAGAAAGTTCAATGCGATCATCTCCTCTATATCTTCAAAAGCTTGGCAAGTGTATAGATCACAAAATTTCAGTCATCTCGAGGGGTAGAAAAGGGAGAGAAAGACAGAGAAGCAAAATGATGATGAAGGGAGAATTTTGGTCTAATCTAGGCTCAACAATGGCGGCTATCATGTTCGCCTACGCCATGTTCCGACAATATTTGCCCCCACAACTCCAGGACTATATGTTCCGGTATGGTAAAAAGCTTTCGAATTTATTCTATCCTTACATTCATGTAACCTTCGATGAATACACCGGCGAAAGGATGAAGAAAAGCGAAGCCTTCTCTGCGATTCAGAACTACCTCAGTGACAAATCATCGGCAAACGCTAAGCGACTCAAAGCCGACGTTGTTAAAGACAGCCAGTCTTTAGTTCTCAGCATGGACTATAATGAAGAAATCACCGATGAGTTCGATGGAGTCAAGCTTTGGTGGTCGGCGAATCGATCCACTCCGAAAACACAGCAGTTTTCCTTTTATCCGGCCGCCGACGAGAAGCGGTATTACGTCCTCAAGTTTCATAAACGCGATCGGGAATTTGTCACCGGAACTTATCTCAAACATGTGATGAAACAGGGTAAGGCTATCGCCGCCGATAACCGGCAACGGAAACTTTACTCGAACGGCGGGGGCCAAGGTTCTTACGGTCCACGAAATGGCACTACATGGACACATGTGGCGTTTGAGCATCCTGCGACGTTTGATACTTTGGCGATGGATGAAAAGAAGAAAAACGTAATCAAGAAAGATCTTTTGAAGTTCAGTAAAGGGAAAGACTATTATGCTAAGATCGGAAAAGCTTGGAAACGTGGTTATCTTCTTTATGGTCCACCGGGAACAGGCAAATCCACCATGGTTGCTGCCATGGCTAACTTTTTGAACTACGATGTGTACGATCTCGAGCTTACGACTGTTAAAAACAACGTGGAGTTAAGAAGGCTTTTGATCGAGACATCAAACAAGTCTATCATAGTGATCGAGGACATCGATTGTTCTCTTGATCTTACAGGCCAAAGAGAAGGGAAGAAGAAAAAGAAGAAAGACGATAAGAGCGAAGAAGGCTCCGATCCGATTAGTTCGATGTCGCAGAACGAAGAGAAGAAAGAGAGCGAAGTAACGTTATCGGGGCTGTTGAACTTCATCGACGGGATTTGGTCGGCTTGCGGTGGCGAAAGAATCATCGTTTTCACCACCAACCATGTCGAGAAGCTTGATCCGGCTTTAATTCGAAGGGGAAGAATGGATAAACACATCGAGATGTCGTATTGTCGGTTTGAAGCATTCAAGGTGTTGGCGAAGAACTACTTGGACATTGATTCTCATCCGCTGTTCGGAGAAATCGAGAGATTGTTGGAAGAAACGGATATGACGCCGGCCGATGTTGCTGAGAACTTGATGTTGAAATCGGATGATGATGAAGAAGATGAAGCTTGTTTGAAGTGTTTGATTGAAGCACTTGAGGCTGGTAAAGAGGAAGCAAGGAAGAAAGCAGAGGAAGAGGAAAAACCCAAGGAAGAATCAGAACAGGAACAACCTGTTGAAGAGGTTGTCACAGAAGATGTAAAATCAGCCAAAGAAGTGAAGGAAAATGGAGTCATCCATTAATTCCGTGGCATCTCAATCCCACATGCATCGAAAAATAATGAGAACTCTGATATGAGACAATTATTGTATCACTAATACTTCTATATCTCTATTAGAGAATTATCCTGTTCTATAAACCAAAATAAGCCATCTCCCCTTGGGATGTAGTCAACACAATAATTCTTTTGAACTATTCGCTCAATATGAATTTATGAACTACCAAATTTATATTAAATTATTGATTAATATAAGTTCTCTATTATATTATAATTAACCTTATAATACAGCTCATAATTAGATTAAATCTGCTAGGATTTCTCTGTCATCTCTGGCATGTTTTTTGAGTTTTCTCAGTGTTAAGTTTTGTTAGGGTTTGGCTGATTCTTGAAGTCTGTTTTCGCTGGGTATTATGGCCGATTTCGTTTGAGAACTGTCTTGAATTGTCTTGTCGGTCGTTTCCTGGCAACGAGCTTAGTGATTTTTCTAGCAATAAGGATCACTCTAGAAAATGTGTGGCATCCCAGAGGAGGCATTGCGATTATTGAGTTAGGGGAGAAACAATTTCTCTTCAGATTATTTCACGAAATTGACACAAATAGGATCGCTTCGAATGGACCCCGGTATTTTAATTCACATCTCTTAATCTTATACCACATTCCATCTCTTAATCTTAAACCACATTCAAAAGGATGATGATCCGATGAAGGTGCCGCTGACAAGGGTAGATTTTTTGGTGTTGGTTAATGATCTACTAGTAGGGTATATTTCCGAGCAGGTTGAAAAAACATTGGGCGATGCGTCTGTCGTTACTCTTGGTTACACGGGTTGTATTCGGATGAGGGTTGGAATCGATGTTCGGAAGCCATTGTGAAGAAGGAAAAAACTATCCCTTACGAATGGCACTTTCACTTATTCCACTTTTTTAATAAGAAAAGCTTCGATTGTTCTGGCTTTTATGTGGGAAACTTGGACATGGGGCGACTTATTGCCCCTTACGTGTTCTGCAGGACAAGTTGGGCCTGTTCCACAATGGGATGTTTCAATTCGGATGCCTCCACGAAGAAGAGGGGTGGGGGACGAGCCCATGGTTGAGTGATGATACTGTGTTGAAGGTACTTGGGGGGTTCAAAAGATGAATGGGGGTCAGGAATTTTCTACCGTCACAGGGAGAGCGAGTCAGAAAAAAGAGCTGGGTGGAGCGAACACTTGCCTCTATTGTTGGTAATGAGATTTCATGTGTTGGATCGAACATAGTGATGGCTTCTATTGAAGAAGAGGAACCTGTCCAGAAACATGATAATGTGGTATGCGTTGAGTGGATTTTTTTGCCCCGGTTAATGTGGTATGCGTTGTATTATCACTGGAATCAGGATGTTAGTGATGTTCCTATGTTAGATTGGATAGGGTACTTATTTGACAGGTACCCTACCACAAAGCATGCGAAAATAATAATCATTCTTTAGGCTCTATGGTTTGCGCGAAATAAATTCATTCACAAAGGCAATCAATTGCAAGTAAAAGTCATCATTACCATTGTTCGAGCTCAATGCTTAGATTATGCCTCTACCAATGAAAGCCTTCGAGGTCCCCATCTACAAATTCTAGTTCGATGGAAGCCCCTAATTGCAAGTAAAAGTTATATAACTTTGATGCGCGATGATCACTAGCACAAAATAAAGCTTGGTCAAGTGTTGTAATTCGAAATGATGCTGGCTAGATCATGGCAGCGAGTCGAAGGGAACTGACAAGGGTTACCTTCTTATTCCAAGAAGAAGCGATGAGAGTAACACATGCAATCCGGCTTGCGGTGGAGTTAGGATTATATCAGTAATCATTGAAGGTGATTCAAATCAGTGATTAAAAATTAAGTCACCAATGCTAGACCTCTCGAAAATAAGCGTTGCAACATGAGATAAAAAAAGAAAAAAAAGAGCAGATCAACTACATGCATGTATCTACCAGTTTGTCCAAAGAGAAGGGAATAAGGCAGCTCACCTGTTGGCGAACGATTCGTCTTCCAGTTCATCTGATAGGTTATGGATTGAAGAGGCGCCTCAGTTTGTGGAGATTCAAGCCTCGGAAGACAAGCTGTGGTTAGACCACCCGTAGATGACCCATCGGAGTATTTCAGTGCTTTCAGCTCTATCTTTCATCTGTTTTGTTTCCTTACTAATAACGTTTCATCGTTCTTTTTTCTTCTGGAGCAATGATGGGAAAGCCGGTTTCACTTTAATGTTTTTGCTTCGTTTCTCACTACTTTAGTTATGTTTGAGTTTTATGATTTTTGCTTTTATTTGTGTGTAACAGCTGGACCACACTGATGTTGGTTTGTTTTCTTAGTTTTTAATAAAATGTTGGTTATTTTCCGTTTAAAAAAAATAATTAGATTAAATCATCTGATAATTAATAAATTAATATTTATTTTTAACTAATCACTTTACATTTAATATCAAGTTTTTAGGACAACATACGTAAAAAAACACACACATAAAATTTTTATTTGCTTCAATAGATTTATATGAAGTACATTAATTATATAAAATTATTACACTTATCACAAAACCCCTACACTATTAATGTCCGAGTGAGGACTTAAGAGATACAAAATGCGAAGAGTGAGTTTCCAGCTGTGTTGTTGGGGTTGAGGGTTCCAAAACCAACCCTATATCCATGGCCAACGAAAACGCACCCATCGCTAACTGACATCCCACCAAAAACAGTTGCTCCTGTGTTATATGACCACAGAATTTCCCCACTCTTACCATCCATTGCATAAATAGGTCCTTCTTTATGCGTCGAACCACCAAATAGGACCCCATTAGCCACCGTCACAGGCCCAGTGACAGTGCCATTGCTAGGGTCGCCTGTCGACCAAAGGATTTCACCGTTTTTAGAATCCATCGCCACCCATCCGCCGGCAGCGGCGTTCCTTGTAGATGGTTTCAGAGTGAAGTTTTTACGATCGGAGTTTGCTATGTTTGTGTAAACCCTCTTTTCATCTGTGGCGGCTCCCCATGTTCCGCCTCCGGCGACACCACCAGGTCCGGCTTCCTACACCAATTAATGGCTAATTTAATCATTGTATTTTAGTACTAAGTTAACTCGGGGTAATATACCTCACCGTAAACCATATAATATTGCCATCATCACGATCCAATGCCCATGCAAATCCACTTTTTTGGACTGCAACAACGATGTCTTTCTCAGTTCCATTCACGTCTATGGTTATCATCATCGGTGCTTCGCCGAAATCAGCATCGGGGTTTGGTCCCGGAGGACAATCAGGAACTGAAAGATTACTACAGGCGAAAAACCAAACATCATAGCCCCCGAGCTGATGGAACCACTTGATGTTTCCAGTGTCCAAATCAAGGGCCACGAATGATTCTGAGTGATTATCGGGCTCGATGCATTCATCCGAATGCGTTGGAGGAATTTGGGTTTGATTGTTTTCTCTCTCTTGGCAATCGGATATGTTTTGGGGAACCGAGTAGAGGTTCCCGGTGGCAATGTAGACGAGGCTCCTCTTGGTGTCGATTGGCGGGCTGCTGCCCCAGATGGCAGCCCCGGCGTATTCGCCACGGTTGCCGAAGTTTTCGGGTAACATGAAGGTCTGCCACAAGATTTTTCCGGTTTTTCCGTCGAGTTTGACGAAGCTTCCTCGAAATGTGCAGCATTTGTCAAGGCTTAGCACTTCTTCTAGTGAAGATGTGCCAACGTAGAAATTCCTGATTTTAAATCAAATTAACGAGGCATTAACATACTAGGACATCTGACATTGTTGGTTTTGATCTCAAACTTTGAGAATGCGTTTGTTATCAAAAGTTGCAAGAGTCAAATTATTATCTTTCTGAACCAAATATGTATATTGTTCGACTCAATCTAAATTATTTAAATTATTATTTTAACAATAAAAACAATAACTTATATAATGATTTAGTATGTTTCTTTCCCTTGTATAGTTTTTTTTTTGTAACTTAGGTGAGCTTAGAAATGGTCCAATTTTTCAAAGGACTATGAGGTCAGCCAAACTAAATAATCTTTAGCCTTACATTTGACTTTTGGATTGTAATTAACACATTCATCCGAATCTGCTGATCTCATCGATTTTTCTATTGTTTATACCTTAAAAGTCAGAAATGAAACAAATTACACCTAATGCAAATCTTGTTGAAAAGTGTATATATTTGCAGGCCAAGTAAATAATAAAATACTTATGGATCTTTCAAGAAAGTAAAATCTGAATTTCCTTGTTTAAATAATAATAAAACGTAGAGCTATATTATATTCTATGCTGATATCATGTTTCTATTATAATTGTCAAGGATTTGATGATTCATATGCCAACGTTTTTCCTTTTAAAGAAGCCACAAATTATGTATATTTTTTAATTATTCACCTCTTATGAGTGTCATGTTTAGCATTACCGAATCCAAAAACAAGGTTTTTTTTTTCTTGAAATTTCAATGGAAAAAAGTTATAATAAAGAATCAAGTGGCTAACCCCTTGTAGTAAGTTCCAGACATGGTGATGCAACCGGCCGGGTTTCCATCAAGCAGGGTTGACCAAACAAGCTCCCCACTGGATCGCTTCACTGCAACAACAGAAGCCGGTCCACAGATCCCAACGATGACCAAATCATCCGCAATGGCGGGCGTTGTTCTTGAAACTATGACACTAACATTGGATATAAGTCCAGTGGAATTAAAGCCAGTCAACTGCTGCAAGTTCTGTTTCCAAATAAGAGATCCATCGGATTCGTTCACGGCATAGAGATATCCATCCCAACTCGGGAAATAAATTGCTCCGTCCAAAACCGACGGTGTCGCGGTGATGTCTCTCCCGGCATTGAATTTCCATTTCAATCTCAGATTCGAAACTGTTTCTGGGCTTATCTTGCTTTCCTCGTCGGCATATCTCCTGTTCAGTATGTCTCCACCATGGCTTAACCAACCCTACGTAAATGGGTCGTATAATATGAACGGATATGTGCATCGTTTTATATATTATATATGTGCATGTAAAAGATGAGGAGGCTTTGAGACTTACATTTGAATCAGCTGTAGGTGCAGAAACCAGCAATAAAAGTATGCATAGTAAGAGAACCAACTCCATTGAACTTGAATTTTATGTTGCTTAATTTATTGTACAGTAATGAGATTAGAGGGGATTTAAGCAATGATATCCTGATGTTAGCTAGCAAGACTATCATTTATTTACTATTTTTAATTATTTTATGTATTAAAAAAGAAAATTTGACTTTACAATATGTTCTACATCTTAACATAAAATCCAACTGTATATGACTTGGGAATATAATAGCAGACAACTATATCTTCCAAATTACATTTCATCTTGATGAATTAAAAATCAAGTTGCGTGTATCGATAAAATCAGCCCTTTATTCTAGTGTCTTTATGTTTACCAATGTCTCAAGTCTTTTAATAAAACCTCATGTTATATGTATAAACAACGAATTACCTTAGAAGAACATTTTTTACCACCTTAAAAAAAATTTTTTAACCGAGTTATTAAATTAGCCAACTTACAATTTCATATGTTTACATATATTTATTAAAAAATAATTCTTTTAAAAAATTCTAAGTTTAATCATAATATTAGAAGGGAGGAGAAGGAGAACTCTAAAGGAAAGAAAAAAGAGTATTCTTAATAGGTTTAGAATTCATAATTTAAGAGAATACGAGGAAATAAAGATTAAAATATTAACCAATTGGTCAAAATATATTTACTCGTTATATTTACGTATTTTAATCTTCAAAAGAGGTTGTCATAATTTTATGCAAAATTTATACAAAAATTTAGACGATATCATGATTGACTATTAACATTCTTATTTCAATTCAAATAATAAAACCAACCGCAATAAAATTCTCATATTAAAGGATATTCAATAATAATAATATTTATCTTAACGAACCAACTTATCTCAGTGGTTAAATGAATTGTTGTTGTTTCTAGAGGTCACGGATTTGAGCACCAGTGACTACAGCAGGGTGATTGAGCGTCCATTGTCAAATGGTTGAGAGTATTTAGAACATATATTATTTTGTAATACCTTAACTTAATAAAAAAGTTATTGATGGTTTAGAGTACACTACTCATCTTGTTAAAAAAAGAGTAATAAAATTTTAGTTCTGATTTTTAAATTTTTAAATCCATCATTTGATTTTCAAGATTTGAAATTAAAATAGATAAGATCGTGTAAACTAAATTTGACTTAATATGTGCTGACTGAATTCCACCGTAAATTGTGGTCCCTGTGTTTCTACGACCATGAAATTCCCCCCTTCTTAACATCTATTGCAAACGATGGTCCTTTTTCGTATGTTGAATCACTGAATAGGACCCCATTAGCCATTGTCACAGGCCCACTGGCTGCACCATTGCTAGGGTTGGCTGTTGACCAACTGATTCGACCATTATTTGCAGCCATTGCCGCCGGCTGTGATGTTCCTTGTCGATGATTTCTACTTCTAAATTAAGCTAATACTTTGACTTCACATCATGATAACGTGGCCTAATTTTTCTGTGATTTTTACATATTAAAAACATTATATTTATCTTTCAAAATATGTCATCTGAGTGATAGGAAATTCAAATTTAGACCAACTCAACGATTTATTTAATAATTAAAAATACCGTTATAGAAAGTTAAAATCACCAACCTTTTTTAATAAGGTCCCTGACAATGTCAGGTGGTAGCAGCAGCTAGGTTTTCATCAAGCAGGGTTGACCAAACAACCTTCCATTGGATTGCTTCTCTGCAACAACAAAAGCCGGTCCGCTGACCCCAATGATGAGCAAATCATCCGGGCATTGTTCTTGAACCCTGTGACATTAATATTGAATATAAGTTCCGTTGGATTCTTAACCATGTCATCGATGCAAATAATGACAATCGCGGTAGACACTCGACACCATCCCACTGTAGAGGAAAGAGGGGGGGGGGGGATAACAGAGCGCCATACACAAATATAAGGCATGGCCCCAAAGAGCGCCACCAACAAAACATAAGGAAGCCCTAATACAAGCTCGAACAACAGCGAGGGATCAAACCAGGCAACAGACAACAACTTGGTATCATGATTCCTCAAAACACCCCATGTACAAGTAAGCATGTGGCTCCCTTTCACATCTCCATTTACATTGAACTTGATCGTAACCTTCACAGGAGCACACCAGTCGCATCTCTTAGCCAGCTTCTTTCTAATCTTAGGCATGCACTATATACTCGAGGATGAAATAAAATCATTGAGGATGTAGATCCGGGTATTTAGCACTAGATACTCGAGGATGAAATAAAATCATTGAGGACAACATTGGTTCCAACATGCGAAAAAAGCTATGCCATCTCTAGCAAACGTCAGTAGTTTTTCGAGAAGCCAAGATTGAATCCATCAAGACCCAAAGCTTTATTTTCAACGACATATTTAAGATTACCCTAAATTTCGTTCTCACTGAATTTGCATTTCACCAACTCACGTGAACGGTTACTAATACATCGAAAGTTACACACTAGTTCAGAGTCCTAAAGTTCCAATCTCAACAACTTTAACTCTTTGAATCGAATTAACAAAATTTCCATTTTGCAAATGAGTTTCGAAAAGATTGATCCCTTTTTCTATGTTTGATCCTTTTTCTATGTTTAGGGTCAAATCAACATCTTATTCTTTCTTCCTCAGCCATCTCTTGATGGTAAACTTCATCCGAGTATTGAGCACAATCAAATGATGTCAAAATTTTTTTTTTATCACATCAACATTCTATAACTCCAATAACGGTTATTAATAGCTAAGTGACCGATTTATTATAATTTGATACATTAATGGTTTGACCAATTTATTATAATTTGATAACATTAATGATCAAATCATTATTTCTAAAATATCAATGAGGAAAAGAGACTTATTTAAACATTAATGACCATTTATATAATTACACATTTTTATTTACAGATCGATTTCGTATACTACCTAACTTATTCAAGAAAAAAATTATGATCTACAATAACTCATGAACAAATTTGAAATTCGTTTTGTATAATTAAAAATTAATATTTAATACTTTTTTTACTTAAAATTTTTATTATTAATTAAAAAATTAAAAAGCCAAGAATATCCGTACATTAGTAGTAGTTTAAATAAAAGCAAAAACAAAAACAAAAAAGGACAACCAAATCTGTGATCTGTCCACAAAAATGATAAGCCACTCCTAGAATAAGTCAATAAGTAGCCAACAACTCAAAGCATTGTAACCAGAACTTGAAATTTTCTAGAAATTTCATCATTAAATTATTGAAAACAACCTCAGTCAAGACAATAATACATTTTAATCAATCTGAATTCACCGTTTTTATCCCCAAAAAACATATTATATAATATGGAGTTCATTCTTTACCACAAAATGTTAAACAATGAAGCTAAACCACTCCAGTGATAAACTGAGGAATGAAAATTTACAGCTGATTATGCAAAACACATCCAATTAATTATTCTTAACCGGCTCTCGGATCATCTAAAATATAAAGACAACACTGTCATGAACCCTAGACTTTTGGTTTTGAGCCACACATTCAGAGATCCACATCAGGTTCCTGGTCTCCTGTTCTCTTAATCTCATATATGCAAAGAAAACCCCATAATGGAACTGCAGGTCATCGTCCAAGAAAAGCAAATCAGAGATACGTTGTTCAATAAATGAAGAAAATAGAGAACAAAAGGAAACAAAGTCAAGCATATGTCATCACTGTGCCTTTCCTCGTCTCCTATTATTAACAAATATAATTGATGCCTGAGAAATTAAGTATAAACCTGTTGCTCAAAAGCTAAGCAAAGCCTTTTCACTTCCTCCTCGTAAAATGCCTTGTCAAGCATCTGGCTCTCTCCATAAGATAGTTTAGAGAAAATTGATTGGTAGGGAGGATATTTTTCCATAGCAGCACGGACCTAGAAAGCAAACAAAGAAACAGATAAGATATTGAAGTAACTTCTTCTAAGAAAGCATAGCATATGAAAATGAAACAAACCTGGTCAATATCCTCACAGACAGCAAGTTCCTCATGGCCATAGGGATAACTGTTTAACATGTAGCACTTTCAAAGATAACAAACACAGAAGAATCTATTACCCAAACTAAAAGAGCATAATCAGGCCTGAAAGAAAGAGCTTACAGAAGACCAAAATTTGAGTATAATTTCCTCCGATCATCACGAGTTAGTTCAGTGCCAATGCTGAAAAAAGTAAACCACACCAAACATGTTTATTAGAAAATACATGGTAAGAAAGTAGCAATAGTAAAACTAGAAAACTACAAGAAATGATCCCTTTCCATAATTAATAGTACCTGTTAATGGTAATATTCACAGCCCTTCTGTCAGCCTCGAAGGCAAGGAGGTCAGACATGATCTCTGCTGTCGCACCACCAAGTTTCTGTGCGGGGGTGAGGGGAGAATGTTCAAATTAACAGGTAGGTACTGAAAACATCATATGCCATATGCAAAAAGAAAGGCCAACTTTCTTCTGTATTAGAACCTTACTTGGCAAAATTTGTAGAAGTCTTCAAGGTATGCTTTGTAGAGAGTGTTCCTCATAATTTCAATGTTCATGTCATCAAGATCCTTGAGAAAAATCAGAGATGAATGAACCCAAAATCAAAGGTTTAAAAAATTACACCATTACACAAACAACACTCTAGCAGAGCTACTAACAACGTAACATGCATACTTATAACGAGAGAGTTACAGAGTCAGAGAATTAATATGAAAAAACACTATCAGAAAGTTTGTTAGAACCTTGTACCTCAGAGGTAATACACTCAGAGAAGTACGGAGCAAGTGGAGTGTCAACAAGAACCAATCTGTAGAGTTCACGCATGTTCTGAGCAACTGCCAGGGTTGCAATGCTGAAGCAGCAAAACAGGAAAGTGAGCATATGTATCATGTGAGGTCAGATAATAAGATGATCTCTGTTTAGGGGATAGATTACCTGTCAAACATGCCCAAAGGATGGCACTTCTCCAGAAGCTCTTGAACATCTCTCTCATGCAAGGTTCCAGTAACAATCAGGACAACATTGTCTATCATGTGACCATATCTAAATGGAACAATCAAAAGATTAGGTTTTCACTAAATCCACAACAACCTATTAATCAATCTGCATCTCAAAGCCATCTTAACAGACAGCTTTCCAAATATCACTGAGACAACTTAAAAAAGCTCAACCAGAGTCCGCTACCTTATAACGTGTGCTTAAAATTGATTAACCAAACTAATAGGCTAAATAGTTAACCAAACTGCATTAGCAGAAAAAGGATGTACACAATTCACACCACCATATCAAACCACTAGTACTCAGATGGCAGCGAACAAGCTGATCGCTGCTAAATATTAAATTAAATTAAACCCAGATTATTATATGTGAAATAAATAAAAGCCTTGGCTATATCTAAGAGAAAGACAATTCAATATCTCTCAAGCAATCAAAGAAAGAAACAAAAAGGACAAATCTTTACGCACGTGATATACTCTAAGAAGGTGGACAATGGCTCCGTAGCTTGGCATAACATATGCTTATACTCATCAACAAGTTTAAGAGTGCATTTCTCCACAATCGTAATCGTATGCAAAGGTGAAGGTTCTGCAAAGGATCAACAGGTTTTATAATCAAATTAAAAAGATCCAATAATTCAAATGCTATTAAGTACTTTGAAGTAACTCCATGAAGTTGTAATTAATATCAATTTCAATTCAATCCAAACGAAATCAATTAATTATCTTAGTAGATTTGAAACTGAGAAGAGAAGATCATGAAAGAAACGTACCGTTTTGGAGATAAGGGCCGTACTCGGTGGCGGAGAGATGCATCTTGATATCATCAAGGGTTTCGCATTGGCAAAGATTGTTGTAATCGGCGGCGGTTAAGAGCCCGGCCCTGTGACCTCTCACGATGGCTTCCAAGTATCCGCCGTGGATGTTGAACGTCATAGCTTCGAATCCATACATTTTGGCCCTTTTTAAACTGATTTGAACAATTAAGATCTGAATTTGGGAATTGGAATTAAAAACCGAACCCTAAAGCTGCAGATTTGAGGATTTTATTTTCCTTCGGGGGGGGGATTTGTGGTAGTAGGGAAGGGAAGGTGTCTGGAAATTACAGTTACGGGAGGTTAAAATATGGTTAGAAAACGGTGTAATTGGTTAAATAAATGATAGGTTAAATGTGTTATTGTAAATATTATATGTTTTCATTGAAAATATTATTTGTGTTGATAATAATAATGATAATAATTAGTAATATCATTATTTGATGTAAAATATGTTAAAAAAATTTTAATTTTTACATAACCGGTTAATTATTCAAAATATTATCAACCATAATAACATAACAAGTATAACTTATTTAACGTAATAGACAATGTCTTTTTAAAATTGATTGGATCTTAAAAATTCGACGATAACAAAATAAGTTAATTACTTAATTTGTTATTAATATTATCAACGTATTAAGTAACACCTAAAATGTTATCAAAGTTTAAGTTAATAGAGCCTTAGAAATCTAACGATAACAAAATAGGTTAATTACTAGAAACATTATCAACCATAATAACATAACAAGTAAGCTTATTTAATATAATATGTAGCACCTGTTTAAAGCTGACAAGACCTTAGAAATTCGACGATAATAAAATAGTTTAATTACTTAATTTGTTTTCAATATTATCAACATATTACCGTGTATATTGTTAATTTATCTATTACTTTAAAGTAATATGTTTCGAAATTATAAGTATCGATACTTATATGACAATTTTTATACTTTTACATTTAATTCTATTTTCATTATACCGGTAAAAACTTTTACCGTGTACATTGTTAATTTACATATTACTTTAAAGTAATATGTTTCGAAATTATAAGTATCAATACTTTATATATGAGTATCGATACTTGGTCATTTACGCCTATTTTCATTATACCGGTAGAAATATTTACTGTGTACATTGTTAATTTAAATATTACTTTAAAGTAATAGGTTTCGAAATTATAAGTATCGATACTTTATATATGAGTATCGAAACTTGGACATTTACGCCTATTTTCATTATACTGATAAAAACGTTTACCGTGTACATTGTTAATTTACCTATTACTTTAATGCAATAGGTTTGAAATTATAAGTATCAATATTTTATATATATATGTATCGATACATTTTACGTGCAAATTGTTTGAGAAACATAGTAGAATAAAAATATCCATATATATATATATATATATATATATAAGTATCGATACTTGGTATTTACGCCTATTATCAATATACGTGTAGACTTTTACCGTTTACATTGTTAATTAACCTATTACTTTAAAGTAATAGGTTTTGAAATTACAAGTATCGATACTTTATATATGTGTATCGATACATTTTGCGTGCAAATTGTTTGAGAAATATATTAGAATAAAAATACCCATATCTATATAAAAGTACCGATGCTTTGATACATATACTTATAAACATATCGATACAAATTTCAACAATTTCGATAGTTCTTTACCGGTTTGGTCAAATTGAAACCGGTTTTGTCAAATTTCAACATGTTATATTGTCATGTATCGATACATGTGTATAAGGTATCGATACTTTATAACCGCCATTATTGCAATTCTTCTAAATTTTTACAGTACCGATACTTTGGTACATATACTTGTAAACGTATCGATACAAATTTCAACAATTCCGATATCTCTTTATCGATTTTGTCAATTGAAACTGGGTTTGTCAAATTGAAACCGCTTTTGCCAATTTTCAATTGGTTTTGTCAATTTCCAATCGGTTTTGTCAAATTTCAACCAGTTTTGTCAATTTTCAATCGGTTTTGTCAAATTCGTTACCTGTTTTGTCAAATTGAAACTGAATGTCAAATTTTAACCTGTTATATTGTCATGTATCGATACATGTGTGTAAGATATCGATACTTTATTGACGTTTTTATTGCAATTCTTTTACTTACTAAAGTACCGATACTTTTATACATATACTTATAAAGGTATCGATATATTTTAACTGGTTTTCTTCACTTTCTTATATATTATTATATATATCTATACTACTGTGTACAATATCAATACCTACCAATAAACAAAATTTGCCGGTTGCCAAATTCTTAAATATTTCTTCATATTTTTTACCTACAACATTATTATCAGTAAACATTTTCTGTATCGCTTAACCGATTTTATTAAATATTTTTTTAAATTTCCGTAGACATTCCCCAGTTTAGATAGAGAATGAGATCCACGTCGTTATACGTGTTTTGGTGAATTCGCTTAATACTCCTCCAAATACTTTCTTTTTACATTTCTTAGATTAAACTATTGGCTAAAATATGATGTAAGTCACTATACTCTTAGTATGTGCGAAATTTAGTCTGTTTATTTTTTGTTTTTAAGAATTTAATCTCTATTTCTCATATTTAAACATTCAAATTCAATTGTTAACATTGTTAAAATTTATTAGTATTAAATTTCACCAACATTAACAAACATTGAAAGTTCTTACTAGATATTATAGATTAATTTTACTCCTAATCTATTTACAATCTTTTTTACGCATTTGTAGATTCATAAACTGAAAGGGAATCCTCTTTCTTGAAATTCAATGCTATCTTTACCAGAAGAGCTACCAAATGGGAAGTCACCAATGCCATCATAAAGCAGCCTACTAAACTCATCATCATCTCCATAATTTCCTGGTTGTTTGTTCTTTGGTTCATCGTCCGCATCACTACTACTGCTTCCGTCTTCGGACGACACATTCGCGTTCTTCTCGACGAGTTCTCGGAATATCGAAGATCGGAATAGCAGATCAAGTGCGGTGGGTGATGATGATGGTGATGTTGAAGAAGAAGAAGACCTGTATGAGTTTAATGGGATTTTGTTTTCGAAAGCTTCTTGCTTTTCTGGAAATCTCAAGCAATGGTTTGTTGCTAAAGAGTGGTAAAATGAAGCCTTGGATTCAGGTTCCGCCATTGCTATTAATTCATTTGCAGAAACTGGATCACTTGTTCCCCGTTTTAACCATCTGAAATATGTGCTCAAATCGAAGTTGGTCACTGCATTTATCCCTCTATATTCAATTGCTGCAATGTCATAAGCCCGAGCAGCCTCCTCTTGGGTGCCTGCAATGTCATAAGGATTAATGTGTTAAGTGTAAGATATGAATATGTTTGCATTAAATTTCTAAGTTTTTCTACGTATCAAAAACGAATGTCATATGAACACTTCAAAAAAGTAGGAATAACATATATGGATATACACTTACTGTAAGTGCCAAGGTAGAGATATTTGTTCCCAAAGACTCTCCCTATTCTTGCTTCCCATCTTCCATTGTGATGGTGTCTGCATGATTCATCCAAAGAAATCTTAAAATTTGAAAATATTGATTCGTTTATATTATTCGAACTTTTCATTTTCCTCGAATATTTTTGTCTCATAATACATTACATAGGTTATTACCAGAGATTCTAAACAAAAGTACCTTGCAACTCCCCTATACTTGGATACACCTCTTGAAAACCCACTGCTCTTTCTGAAAGAAATTAAAATTAGCATACATTAATTAGCAACAATAACATCTAGAATTTGATTTAAGTAAATAAATTTGTGATTTTGATAATCATATATATACATAATAGAGATTACCTTCTTAATGATGCCAAGTACTCTTCTTTTGTCACAGTTTGCATCATTTCAATCTCTTTTACATAGTCTGATATCTGCAGAAATCATTAAAGGGAGTTAGATAACTTCTTTACATATTACATACATCAATATGTCTTCAGACTAATAGAAGGTCCTGAATCCGAGTATAAGCAAGTTTGAGTTTCGAATCTCCATTTCGGCAACCGTTTTTTGTATCGGAAAAAAATAATAGAAGGTGCCAGTTACCGGGAAATTGGTGAAAGTTGATGTCCCCCAATACTTAAGTGCAGCTAAATCATATGCTCTTGCAGCAGCTTCTTCATCATCATAAGCTCCTGAAAATTTAGGAAAAAGAGAAGAACATGTTTCATTTCTCTGTATCATAGAAAGAGATTTTTGTTTTAAAAAAGCGAGACTTGACATTTAACAGTGATCGAGATGCACTCACCAAGATAAACTGCGGGATCCCCAAGAGTCAAATTCACAGCAGGAATCCATGGAGGAACATAGAATCATACAATAAATACTTAAGCATCTATGAATCGAAAACGATGATCCCGAAAAAAGAAGGGAAACGAAACAGAGAATGAAAGATTACCTTGTTTCCCTTTCTTCTTCTGTGTAAAATTCCAAGAAAGCTTATCCCACAAGTGAGCTTCATATCTCCCAGTCCATCTATGCCTGTTCATTTTAACATTGTTAAAAATTGGCCAAACTCGAACGAAACCAACGTCACGGTTGCTATCATGGGGTTTAGAAAGGTCTGGTTTTGTACCTGCTGACACCACGGAACCTCGAGCTTCTTTTCACAGTGGTAGCGGCAATGGTTTGTTGATCATTTTGTTGCTGGGGTTGAACCAGGCCGTGACTGCCATCAAATCCAACTGCAACCGAAGCCGGACTTCGTCGACGTCTCTTTACACACCTCAAATTCTGAACCTCACCTTCGACGACCGAGCTTAACCGGCGCCGACGGCTTCCTAGGCATTGTTGTTCGCTAACCATAAACATTTCCATCTCTTGTCGCCTTGATATTCTTTCTTCTCTCTTAAATAGCTGCTGGACTCATAGGAAACTAAAGAGTCGATGTATATATAATGTGGTTATCGAATTTGGAGTTATTATGTTCCGTTATGGTTGTGGAAAACTGTTTGTTTAGTACAAAACAAGTGTGTGTCGATGATCTCTATGAACAATGAAGACAAATTTGCAATGCCAGATGAATTTCAGATGTCCCAATGCAGTTGCTGACAAAAATAGCGGACTGATTAGATGTAGTTGAATAGTTAACAACCATTAAAAGATTAAATTATGCTTCGTTTAAGTAGTTTTTTCAACTAAAACCAGAGGGAATTTCTTGTACTTTCCCCCGACCAGGAATTAAATAATTTCATATTGTTTAATCAAAAGAACATTATGCTCCTTGATTCCATAGGAAACT